ATATACAAGATCCCATTATTACATGCATGCAGAAATAACATAGAAACAAATTTAACCAAAGCAACAAACTAAGATATATTTTTTGGCCAATGATTAAGATAAATGCACAAGGCAAAATGATCTACACTCCCTCTCTAAGTGCATTTCACAACAATGCCTTTTTTTTTATCATAGTTCTTCTATTTTGCATATTTCATTATGAAATTGCTAGACTTGAAATACAGTGCCACATAATTTGAGAGAAGAAGAATAAACGAAAGGCTGAGAGATAGATCTTCAATCAAGTTCATGTTTGATTGCATTGAAAAAAGATAAAGATTATTTGATTCCATGAAGTTTATAAGATAAACCATTTCAAATCATTTTCATCTCGTAAATAAATTCATAGAAATAAATGGTTCAAATGCTTCAAGACGAAAATAAACCAATCCTTTAAAATAAAATGACCACGTAATAGAGTTTTAAGAGGAAAATGCAAATTGTGTAATGGATAAATCAACTATGCTACACTTTGAACTGATGGTACAACTGTGTCTATAGAGATCAATGATTTTTTGACTTAGCAGTAGCAAAAACTGTATCATGGAATCATTAGAAAGTAATTGAAAAAAGTATAGAAGACCAATCCAAGTTGATAGGTTACAGTATGCACATTTCAATTGTAAAGGCTTCATAATAAAATTCAAAATAACAAATGAAAGCATCACAATGGCTTCCACCCAAAATGCAAAATGCCAATTTAAATGACTGTAACTTGTTAGCTAGTTATCTCAGATTAACGTTTGGGCAGAGCATAAAGCAACATAAAATATGGACAGTAGTAAAACTTGGCATATTTGAAATAAGGATGGTTCTTTTATTCTTAAACTAGGAAGAAATTAAAGAGATCAATTTAACAAATACCTATAAAAAAGCTAGAAAAGAAAACTTACTATTCCACCGTAAACATATTCGAGTGCATATCCAATTGGCATACACATGTAAAATATTGCTAGCCATGCTATTTTATGATACAAAAGCAGAAGAAGAATAAGATTCAAGGGGATGACATCAACAAAAAAGTTTCTAATTGAAAGAGATATAAACATAAAGGGCATGTTGCATATAACTCCAAACTCAATAGTTAATAGCAAGATGATTGTGATTTATAAGTGTGACAAAATAATTAGATTGAACCCTAGAACTAAATTTTTTATAATGGGTCATACTAAAATAATTAACTTAATTTCTTGTTTCGACATTAAAAGCTTGAAGCTAGAACATCCTTTTTTTACCTTTTTCAATCATACCAATTTATGGAAAAAACCCAAATTCCTTGACTTTTGGGTAAAATAACCCTTTGGCCACATTTAGATCTTTATTAAAATAAACAAGTAAGAGGATCTTAATACATATCAACTTTAGGATACATTAAATAAAGGAAATTCTTCTACAAATAAGTTATCAACATTGCAAGTGTAGTAGCCTAAACTTTAACGCAATTGGTTCAAACAAATCCAAATCAAACCCTAAACACACACATGTAATTGAAATAGAATACATTTCAAAACTAGTATATTAAATCTGAATGTTCATTTTTGTTCCTTTAAATTTTCTTCAAAAAAAGCTGGAATTTCAAAGATCTATAAAAAATCATCATGAGAAATCAATTTGAAAAGCAAAAGTTGAAGAAAAATCGCATAATGTAATGAAAGAACACAAAATTGCAACTGACAACTAACTTGCAACCAAACATGAATTAATTGATCTATATCTAATTGATGCTAAAACAAGTGATCATAAACTGGAATTGAAAAGATTAATAAAGGAACAAAAAGGAAAATTGATTTAAAGAACAAAAAGTGCAAGAAAATACAAGAATTAACTAGAAACAACTAAAATATAAAAGTGAAATTCAACCAAAACTTACTGAGTTGATGAAAGAAAAAATTAGGTCTAGAAGCTTATAATGAAAATGAACTTGAAATGAGCTAAGAAACAATTCATCAATCAAGTTTGCTACAAAATTCAACAAGAAAATGGCAGCAAAATAGAGAAAAGCTAGCTTAATGAACTAGCAACTCAAGTGATACTCAAAATAGAGAAAAACAGGGCATTAACAACTAAATCTATCCAAACACCAAATGAATTCATGAAAATAAATGAAATCAATTAAAAAATAACGAGAAAACATGTACAAATAAGAATGTAAAGTATGAGAGAATCAAATCAAACACCTAGAAGGAGAGAGGATCATCATTCATCAAGTTCTCATGCATGGATCGTTTCTGCCTTATGGATTCAGCCTTAATTTTGAAGAATTAATTGTACTGGTACAATGGTATTTGAGGTTGAATTTTTATTGGATTATATCCTTATGAAATAGGAATCTAGGAAAAAACATTTGAAGTAAATCAACCTAGAATTCACTCAGTTTTGATCAAAAGACTGAAGATAGGTTAGGTGTGCGGTTTTGAAACCAGATTTGAGTTCAATGTGAATTTTACAGAATTTGAAAAGGAAATCATAAGAATTTGTAAATTTCATTATGAAAATCTTAAAGAACATTCAAAAAGAGTGTAGGAAACCTAAAATTGTAAAAAGATTCAATTAAGAAAACTAAAATTAAAAGCTATTTGGTTGGAGAGAAAATGAAAATGACAGCAGATCAGGTTCTGACAAGTGAAAGGTAAAATATCAGTTTGTGCTCTAAGTTGCACCAGGAATGATATATGGAAAGCATAAACTTCTTATAAGACAACTGATTAGTGATAAAATATGGCTTAAACAAGGTTCAAAAAAGTACGAACAAGCATCAACAAATATCATACAGACATTCATGTGAAACCATAGCCTCTCACCCCGAAACCCCTCAGCTTCTGACAAATTATTAAAAGAAGTTCTTTTTGTAATAGAATACAAGATTCAAGTACATTTAGTTATCATGAATTTATAGTTTTATACAGTTCTCTTGATTTGAAAGATTTTTTTTCAAAACAATTACGTTTCTCACTTCCTCTCACACTCACCCAAGCACATTCAACACATTAAATCAAACAGCAGGCAAAGATTTCTATATTAAACTAGTAGAGATAGAGCAAGAATCAAGGCAAAGCATTCACATATAGATAGGAGATAAGTGCGAGCAACCTTGTGCTGGAGTACTCAAAGAGCTTTCTAGCGGCTGAAAAGACTATAAGAGCTATCTCAGCATCACAAAGAGTGGAAAGCTCATGAGCTTTCTTGAAAACTCCTCGTCTCCTTTTTGAGAAAGTCACCTACCTCGTTGCTACGTTGTCAATCTTCTTGATTTGAATTTTCTTTCTCACCATTCTCTTCCAAGAAAAAAGTTGAGGAAAGAAAAGAAATTACAGAGAAAAAAGAGGAGGTTTAAATTTTTGAGAAAAATTTTAGTTGCGTTATTTTTTCATGATAGCGGCGTTTACTTAAAAAAATGCTACTATTTACAAAAAAGATTATTGAAGTTGTTTTAGACTAAAAATGCCTTTAATAATCTCTTTTAATTTTTTAGAGTGGATTATTGAAGGCATCTTGTGCAAAAAATGCCTTCAATAATCTTTTCTAATTTTTTATCAGAGATTATTGAATGTGTTTTAGGCAAAAAAATGTCTTCAATAATCTGCTCATAAAAAATAGAGGCAATTATTGAAGGCGTTTTCTGAACGCCTTCAATAATTCCCCTAAAAAATTGTAGAGGATTATTGAAAGTATTTTTGTCAAAAATACCTTCAATAAATCTTATTGTTAATGAATTTGCCAAAAATGAATTAGCATTGTTGGTTAGAACATACGGTTATTAATCATAAGATTGTAGGTTTGATCATTCTCTTCAACATTTTTTAGGTTTTTTGAAGTATTATTGAAGGCATTTCTGATCAGAAACACCTTCAATAATTCTCCTAAAAAATTAGAAGCAATTATTGAAGGTGTTTTTTTTTTTTTTTTTTTTTTTTTTTTTTTTTACAGAAAATACCTTCAATAATCGCTTCTATTTTTTATGAGTAGATTATTCAAGACATTTTTTGCTTGCAACGCCTTCAATAATCTCTCATAAAAAATTGAAAGAAATTATTAAAAGCATTTTTTGCACAAAACGCCTTCAATAATCCCCTCATAAAAAATAAGGGGATTATTGAAGGCATTTTTATTTTCCAAAAAATGCCTTAAAAAATCACTTTTATTTTTTATGAGAGAATTATTTAAGGTGTTTTCTACACACAAAAAAAACTTCAATAATCACTCCAATTTTTTAAAAATGATTATTCAAGGTATTTTATTCAATAAACCTCATTAATTTTTATCTTTAATGACGTTTTATAAGTAACAACGTCACTATTTGAATATTTAGTGGCGTTTTGATAATAAATGCCTTAAGTTTTATAAAAACACGAAAGTTAGTGGCGTTTGTAAGTAAAACACCGCTATAAAATTGCTACTAATCTTCCATTTTCTTGTAGTGCATTTTAGTTTTGAAGTTCACAAAATTTACCTAAGAATTGATATGCTTTGCATGATTACTCGTTAAAAGAGTAAGACTCAAAAATTTTTTTTTAAAATGAAAAGTGTTTAATATATTTATTGACACTATAAGAAAATATGTAAATAGTTTTATAAAAAAAAATCCTCACACTTTGTAAACGTATATTCTATCTAGAAACTATTAATTATACAATTTTTACATTTTTGGATAAGATTCAATGAATTAAAAAATCATAAATGAAAAAAAATAATTATTGAGGGGCAATTGATTTATTTTGGAAGATATATCTAAAAAAACTCACATAAACACCATATATATATAAAAATAAAATTTAAAATTCTCTCTAGCTCTCATGTGGCTCCGTCACTGTTTATTTTGTTATTTAAAATGTATGATTCATTTATTGAAAGAAAAAATATCGGAAAATGCTGAAAAATGAGAAGTGTGAGAGAATTACAACTATAAAATGAAAAAATATATATAACAAAGAAAAGGTGGCTTTAAAACACAAGGACCAGCATCAAACTGAAACAAGTGAAATTAATTAATAATTTGTCGTGGCAAAGCCAAAGCCGGAGCCGAAGAGTTTTTGCTTCAATTTCTTTTAGTAAATAAAATAATAAATGCTGGTTCGTTAAAAAAGGAGGGGAAGTTTGTTAATTTCCCGATCATTTTGTTTTGGCAATTGCCAGCAAACAGATCTCTCCCTCCCTCTCTGTCTTGGAAAATAGAAAAAATTAACAATAAAAGAAATGGCTTATAGGAGAAGGCAGGGAATAAGCAGAGCGTCGACGTTCAAGGAAGAGATTCACCACCCACACCCACCAGGAGACAATGACAGCAAAACATTCACGTCCTCCTATTCTTTCTCTTCATCAACATCAACCGCCAATTCTCTCGCCGCTCAGGCCATGCGTGCCGCCTCTGCTTCTGCCAAAACCGACTCCCCTGTTTTTGTTGCTGATTCTGATTTCAACCCTTCAAGATCTAAGGTTTTTTTTTTTTTTTCTTTGTGGGAAAACAAAGGCATACCATTATCATTTAAGTCAGATATCATGTTCTTCATTCGCTTTTTTTGTCTGTTGATTTTATCAATGCCAAATCATACCTAAGTTACAGTTATCAAATATTATGGGCGGCGTTTCAGAGATAAACGCTACAAAATAAAATCTATGATTTAGAAAAGAAAAAGGAGATCTATTTTGTTGCGTATAATTGAGTGTTATTTTGTTCTTTCTTTCTGGTTTTGATCACAATTATCTCCAGATGGTCATATTTAATCGACTTTTATGTTCCTATGATGGAATTTGTTTCCTGTTGTCTAATTTCTTATTGAGATGACTAATTGTAGGGCTTCAATGCCTACGAAGATTCAAGAAATGATTCGAAAGGGTTCTGGGGTGTTCTGGCTCGAAAAGCCAGAGCCATTCTCGACGATGATAATGTCTCTCAGCAGTTTGAAACGCCTGGCAGAGTAGGATCATCGCCTATGTTGGAAGCCTCACCAGCTTCCCAGGTGATCTATTTTAATTCTTTGTTGGTGCTAATAATGAGAGGAAAGTGTCTTCAAAGTAATTCGATTTAGACGTTTTGCTATCGGTGTTTCTGCTGATGCAATGCCATATTAAAGTGCTCCATTTTCTTATGGCTTTATTTTATGTTCAAAATTTACACTTGGGCTTGTGTTTCTTCTCAATAGCAGAACCAACAGCCAACTGAGGGCTTTAGAAGAATGGATAATCCTACAATACGAAGGGGCTTGGATAAGCTCACCTCATCCCTTAATCAGATTGGTGACACATTTGAAAAGGCTTTTGAGGTAAGATGTGAACTTGTTTGGGCTAGAATTTTGTTAAACTCTTCATGAGATTCTTTCATTTATAAACTTGTCTCATTCATTCTAACCAATACTTTTTACTCTGTATGTACCACTTCTTTTGCCTTTCCAATATCAAGTAGTGAGCAAATTAAATGTTACTTTATATCTATTTATGTTTTGCCCATTGTTATTTTTTTTGGGGGGGGGGGCGGGGTGTTGTAGAAATGAAACTGTCTTCATCAGCACAATTTCTTGTCTTTGCAGGAAGGTCGAACAATTGTGGAAAGTAAAACCCAAGATATTATCCAAGAAACACGCAAGCTTCAAATCAGGCGGAAAGGGAGCTGCAATCCCGTGGCAGAAAATCAGGTCACTGGTTTCAATAGCACATTGCAGCAACCTCTGATGGAACCGACACGGCTTCAGAATCAAACCAACCATGAAACCCGACTCAAGGCATCTCGCGATGTAAGGTGGCAAAATTGTGTGACACTGAGTCATATAGTGAAAGCATTGATTATTTCAATTTGGGAATAAAAACAAGGGTGTGAATTTCTCAAAATCACTTCAAGTTGCCAGTTAGAGAGATCTTGGTCTGCCTGCCACTCAACCATTTGATAAAATTTCTTGTCCTGAATTTATACAATCTTGACTTTGCTGCATTATTGAACTTTGCAGCTCAGAAAAATTAAAAAATAACCTCTTTTAGGTTATTTCCATAATGATTTGGTTATTAGTAAATGTAAGCTGCATTATGGGCTATGCTTAGAAGTTCAAATACAACTTTAGAAATGGGGTATGCGTTCATTATGGTTGAACTCAACTAGTGCCATTAGGAGAAGTAGATTATAAGCGAAGTTCTTCATGTCCTGTCCGGTGAAATGCAAGATTTGACTCTTTTTTGCTTCACAGGTTGCAATGGCCACAGCTGCTAAAGCAAAACTTCTTCTTCGGGAGCTGAAAACTGTTAAGGCAGATTTGGCTTTTGCAAAGGAACGATGTGCTCAACTAGAAGAGGAGAATAAACTCCTTCGGGAGAGTCGAGAGAAAGGGGGTAATCCTGCAGACGATGATTTGGTACACATACGTTTTCTTTTATGGAGAGAGGATTCTTTTTTTTTTTTTTATCAGGAAGGCAGTGTTTTACGTTTGCTGCCCCTATCATGAGATCAATATTCTTTTGTTCAATTTCTTCTCTCATGATTTTTTTTTTTTTTTTGAGGACGTGTTGAGTGGGTTATTGGTGTAGTTGAGTTACTGCTACATGCAGGAAGGCAGAAGTAATTGCAATAATTTATTGGTAATAATTTTGAATGTTGCAAATGTTATCTCAGATTCGGCTTCAACTGGAGACTCTTTTGGCAGAAAAGGCCCGATTGGCGCATGAAAATTCAATATACGCTCGAGAGAACCGGTTTCTAAGGGAAATTGTAGAGTATCACCAACTGACCATGCAGGATGTTGTGTATTTAGATGAGGGAGCTGAAGAAGTTACAGAAGTTTATCCCATCAACTTCTCCTACTCAAAAAGGCTTTCTGATTACCCCACCTCACCTTCTGAGGTGGAGGAGGTCACCGCTTCCCCTTGTACGAGCCCGCCACTCACAAAGGAAATCTTACCTGTCCCTAATCCACAGCAGGAAGCCAAGGGTGTCTTCAACTCCATAACTGATGTCTCACTCGCACCTACTTCATCCACTTCCTTACCCGATGGAGAGGATGCAAGAAGACCTCCAGTATCTTCTCTCGAAATTTAGTTTTACCAATATATTCTGCTTGTTAAAAGACTATTGTAACATGGGTTTGGGCAAAGTAGGAAGGAGGGAGCCGATCTTTTTTTTTTTAATTTCTTCACTCATTTTTAAGGATTGATTGTTTTTTCTCTTTTTGTGTGTGTTATTGTGCATACCCTTTTTTTGGTCCATGATTAAATAAGAAAATTAAAATTATTTTCCTTTTCCCTGTGCAAGTTGTATTTCTATAATTAGAGTGTTTGTGCCGAGCTGTCTTCTAGGATCAAAAGAGAGAGAAATAAAGTGATTAAAGTCAAAAGTCAAAAGTGATCTTAACGTTTATACTCTGATGCTCAAGTTAGAGACTGATCAAAGAGGCATGTATATAAGAAGGAAAATATAAGAAAGTATATAAAAAACAAGATGGAACAATGGTATCTGGATGATCTTATTTATACTTGTTAGGTGGGGGTTTTGGGCAGCCTAAGCTGCCTGAGGTCAGCCTTAAGGTCAAGGATGACTTGGTAGGCTAAGCTAAGTTGGATGTTGGCCACCTAGTCAAGAGATGACAAGTCAGCATCTAAATGGGGGTTTAATGAGTAGGCTGGAGAGGTGTTTGAGCTGACGTGACCCCATGGATTCAGGTTGACATGATAAGTCAACTTGGTCGAAAAGTTAGAAATTCCCATAATAGTTTGTTGATTGTCTCTAATGAGGAGAAATGACTATTTTGCCCTTTGAACCCAAAATTGCTTCTAATATTTTGTCATTCTACCTAGTAGTCTGAGTATTAGAATGATGAGTGTAGGTTGGACCAATTTGATCTATACTCGGTGATATTGAGCTTAAATTCTTGAGCATGGGTTTTTAAAAAAAATTATTTTGTTGATTTGATCTCAAGTTATTGAAGTAAATAATTTTAGGTGTCGATATGGACGAGAGATGCATAGGCCAAACCTGTAGGTGGTAGTCGACATGTTTTGTATGTCGGACATTGCATTTATTTGTGATTTACTGCTATGTTATTGTGATAGCTAATGTGGGACCTGTATATTTTCCTTTTGTTTTTTATTTTTCTTTCGTAATGGTATGTGCCTGATGACGTGAACGCATGTGTTTCTAAATAGTAAAATTCCTAATGAAATGACTAATATGGCTTTCCACTAATTCATCTATATTTGCATTTATTAAAGAGAAAATTTGGTAGTTACATGATCATGGGCTGAGAACATGAAGGGTCATCCTTGATAACCTTTTTGGCCATGTGGCACAATTTGGAACATTTATCCAATCTCCAAGTTGGCTATATAAAGGGCCTTCTAAGGCCTTCACGTCTTATATCACAGTTTTCTAGCTCTCAAGTCGACCATATTTAACCGACCTCTAATACTTTTAGCTTTCTTTGAACTTACCTTCACACTTTCAAACTTTTTGGTACATTTTTTTTTCCTTTTCATTATGTTTTCTAATTTTAGTATGTTTGATAACTTTAAGGTAGAACTAAGGGGAGGTTAGCTTGATCGTGAAGATTTCTATTCGGATGATTTAATTCCCCTCTAATATTGTAAGAAGGGATTATAGCTGAGTTGCCTATTAGTTAAAATCAATATTTGCTAAGAGCCAAAAACAAATAAAAAACGAACACCCATGTAAAAGGAAAATGGGTTTATAATGGGATGGATAAGTTTCTTGCTGCAATAGATTTCAAGTTTCAGAATCCTCCATCTCTAATGCCAGAAGTTAGCTTAACTTTTCTAGCTGACCTTTCTTTCTTTTTTTCTGCTCTTCCTTTAGATTATCCTAATCCTTCTCATCTTTCTTACCATTCTTATCTTTTTTTTTCTTTCTTTCTGATGAGTAAATAATCTGAGCTCAAAGTCCAACTCTAGCTTGTCTTCTGAGTTTAAGGAGCCTTCTACTTTCTCTTTAACTTTTTCCTTCTTCAATGTAGTAGGGGTTTAAAGAGGTAATTATTCAAATAGTCATAACTATTTGAACTTATTCACTAAACAAATTTTTTTATTTTTTACTTATTAATTTTTTGAATGTTAATAAATTAGTATTATTTTATTTTGAGTAAACATGTATGAATCGAAACAATTATTTTATGTCTAAACAAAAGGTAAGAAAATTTGAAATAGATAATTGTTCTAATAGTCTTAACTATTTGAACTAGATTAGCAAACACATTTAGTTTTTAAATCCTTATTAATTTTTAAAATATTATTAATTTAGCAATATTTTACTCCAAATAAGCTTGACAAATGTTTTAGAACCAAAACAAAGATCATAATAATTTGAGATAGATAATTGTTTAAATAGTCATATCTATTTGAACTGGTTTTATAAGGAGATTTAGTTTTTAAATCTTTTATTAATTTTTAAAATAGTAATAAATTATTGTTATTTTATTCTAAATAATTTTGTATGAATAGAAATAATTCTTTTACGACAAAACAGTCATAACAATTTGAAATAGATAATAGTTCAAATGACATGACTATTTGAACTTGTTCGGTAAATAGATTAAAGTTTTAAATCTTTAACTTATTAATTTTAGAATATTAATAAATTAGTATTATTTTATTTCAAATAAACTTGTATGAATAGAAACAATTGTTTTACGACAAAACAAAAGATCATAATGATTTGAAATAAATAATTGTTCAAATAGTCATAACTATTTGAACTTACTCGATAAACAAATTTATTCTTTAAATCTTTTACTTATTAATTTTGAAATATTAATAAATCAGTATTATTTTATTCTAAATAAGCTTGTTTGAATAGAAACAATTGGTTTATTACCAAACAAATGGTCATAGCGATTTGAAATAGATAATTGTTCAAATAGTCATAACTATTTTCTAAAATTTTACTTATTAATTTTGGGAATATTAATAAATTCATATTATTGTATTCGAAATAAGCTTGCATGAATAAAACCAATTGTTTTATGATAAAATAAAAGGTTATAGTGTTTTGAAATCGATAATTGTTTAGATAATCATAACTATTTGAACTTGTTTGGTAAGCATATTCATTTTTTTAATCATTTTACTCCTTAATTTTTGGAATATTAATAAATTAGTATTATTTTATTTCAAATAAGCATATATGAGTGGAAACAATTGTTTTATTACAAAACAAAAGGTCACAATGATTTGAAATAGATAATTATTCAAATAGTAATTATTATTTGAACTTATTCAATAAACATATTTATTTTTTAAATCTTTTACTTATAAATTGTCAAAATATTAATAAATTAATAATATTTTAATCCAAATAAACTTGTATGAATAGAAACATTGTTTTATGACAAAAGAAAAAGTCATAACAATTTGAAATAAATAATTGTTCAAATAGTCATAACAATTTGAACTTGTTCGGTAAATAGATTTATTTTTTAAACCTTTTACTTATTAATTTTCTTAATATTAATAAATTTATATTATTTTTTTTGAAATAAGCTTGTATGAACAGAAAAAATTATTTTATGACAAAGCAAAAGGTTTAGCAATTTCAAATAGATAACTGTTCAAATAATCATAATTATTTAAACTTAATCAGTAAACATATTTATTTTTTAAATCTCTTAATGATTAATCTTCAAAATATTAATAATTTAGTATTATTTTATTTTGAATAAGCTTATACGAGTTGAAATAATTTTTTTATGATAAAAGAAAAGGTCATAACAAACTGACAACAAAAACATAATTATAACTTATTGAACCAATTCAAATAATTATAACTATTTGAACAATTATCTATTTCAAATTGTTATTACTTTTTGTTTTGTCATAAAAAATTATTTTTGTTAATATAAGTTTTCAAAATAAAATAATGGTAATTTATTAATATTTAGAAAATTAATTGGTAAAAGATTTAAAAGGTAATCTGTTTACTAAACCATTTCAAATAGTTATGACTATTTGAATTATTATCTATTTCAAATCATTATAATTTTTTATTTTGTCATTAAACAATTGGTTCTATTTATACTATTTTATTCGGAATAAAATAATATTAATTCAATAATATTCTAAAATTTAATAACCCAAAAAATTAAAAAATAAATCTAATTATCGAGCTAGTTCAAATAGTTAGGACTATATAAACAATTATCTATTTCAAATCGTTATGACCTATTGTTTGTCATAAAAGAACTATTTTATTCATATAAGCTTATTTGGATTTAAATAATTCTAATTTAATAATATTTCAAAAATTAATAAATAAGAGATTAAAAAATAAATTTGTTTACCAAATTAGTTCAAATGGTTAAGACTATTGGAACAATTATCTATTCATGTCATTCTAACCTTTTATTTAGTCATAAAACATCTGTTTTAGTTCATACAAGCTTATTCAGAATAAACTAATATCAATTTACTAATATTCAAAAAATTAAGAAGAAAGAGATTTAAAAAACTAAATATGTTTACTAAACAAATTTAAATAATTATTACTATTTGAATAATAGTCTATTTAAAATTATTATAACCTTTTGACTTATCATAAAACAATTGTTTTAGTTAATAAAAGCTTAGACAAAATAAAATAATACTAATTTATTAATATTTCCTAAATTAATAAGTAAGAAATTTAAAAAATAAGTTCGTTTACTGAATCAATTAAAATAATTATGATCATTTGAACGATTATCTACTTCAAATTGTTATGACCATTTGTTTTGTCATAAAATAATTATTTTTGATCATACAAGTTTATTTGAAATAGAATAATACTAATTGATTAATATTTCAAAAATTAATAAGTAAGAGATTTAAGAAATAAATCTATTTATCGAACCATATCAAATAGTTATGACTATTTAAACAATTATCAATCTCTAATCGTTAAGATCTTTGTTTTATCATAAAACAATTGTTTCTAATCATCGAAGCTTATTTAGTTAAAAATAATAATAATTTAATAATATTCCAAAAATTATTAAGTAAGAGATTTAAAAAATAAATGTATTCGCTGAACTAATTCAAATAGTTAAAACTATGAAAATAATTATCTATTTCAAATCATTCTGAATTTTTTGTTTAGTAAAAAATATTTGTTTCATATCTTACAAGCTTATTCAGAATAAAATAATGCAAATTTATTAACATTAAAAAAATTAATAAAAAAAGA